ATTTCTTTAAGCATGTTATACGAAAATTTAAGTTTAGAAATGAAACAATACTGCTAACATGTATTTTAGTTTTTCGCGAATGTATAGTGATCATAGCTTTCAGAAAAATTAAATAAGCTTTATTCATTACAAAAAAAAATCTTACAGGTGAAAGAAAATTTCATCAAAATAACTGAAATTCTTAATTCATTTAATTTAATACCTCATTTTTCTCGAAAACAAACACGTAACATAAATTTTATTTTAGACTTTTTATCGATCTTCAAAATATCTCAAAATCACAACAACGACAATATAAGGTTAAACTGTATCGATTTCCTTTAGAGACACAAAACATTATACCTCGGTTACTTTTATCATTGTTACGTTGCCTTTTAAAAAAAAAAAAAATAAAACAATAAACTTTGTCTTTTAACTTTTTTTCTTCAGATAAAATGCAAATTGATATGGACAGCTTACGTTTGTTAAAATATGTGCCCTATGTTGTTAACAATAGGACTATAAAGAGATGAGTGGTTGACGTCAATGACTACAACTCAACAACAAAGTTATCAAAATACAAGCTGATGTGTCTAACAAAATAAAGATAACTATGATTTTTTACTTGAGTCGATACCAAATAAAACAGACGTTACTCATTGTAATTTAACCTTGTATTTTAAGTATATATAAAATTGTAGGAAACAATGTTTTACTCGAATCAATGTCAAATAAAACAGACGTTACTCAAAAAAAATTCTGAAAAAAATGAGCATAAAATGTCATCAATGCTTTACCATTTGTTATAAAATGAATCAAATTTTATAGTTAGCAAATTCAAAAAAAATATCGGACTTCAAAAGACAAAATGTATTGACGTATGGATACCTGATACCTTTGTTTACATAAATTGATGAGGTGCTTCTATTGCATAGAAAAAGGGACAAAAACCTTGAAATTAAAATATTGTTGAATATGTACAAAGTCTCAACTGCGAGGTGAGGTCTTTCAAATAATGAATATCTTCCGAAATTTGTAAAGGTCAAATGATGAAAAAAAAAATTGTCATACATGTAAAATTGCTAGTGGAAAATATCGCATGGAAGAACAAATGGAATCTTCATGAAAACTGTACACTACAGAAGTTAACCATTTATGGGACACGAGGTAATCATCTTTTATTTTGTAATGATTTATGTTTATAATTCCGATGTTTGTATGTTTTATCATTAATTTCATTGTTCATGAGCGACATGGCAATCAAACAGTTTATACATTTATAAACCATGCCAATAACGTCATGAGTGTGAATTCCTACAGAGGCGAAATAGTTCCGTGGTTTTGTCTTGACATATTTTTGAGTGAAATTTGTGGCCATTTTAGGTGATAATGGTTACTTTTACTATGTTAATTTAAGTGCATTCTCGGTCTTTCATTCGTAAGTTTACTACAAAGTCTTCTTGCTTTATTGAGTCTGTTGTGTTTATAGTTCAATAAATTTCCCCAAACTTTATTAGTATATTAATTCTCCAAAAAGAGGATTATATATTACCAATGTATGCGACAAAAAATGTTAATGTTAAAAAATCAATGAAAAGCTTTTCCGTTCCAACGCCTTTTATCAACAGAAAACGTTTATGCACGAACAAATAATGATAACAAATATATGAAGTAAACTATTCACGATGACATGAGGAAGCTTTCTTGAAAAAAAATAAACAAAACAATCGTAAAAGGTTCCGCGGAACCCTATGTCTCGCCTGTAGTCAGAGTAAAAGTGAAAAGTTGACTGCCATAAACGACGTCCATTTATCAGCAAAATACGCAAATATAAATAAAAATCAAGCTGATTTCTTTTGAAGCTATTTTCTATTCATGAAATCTTCTGTCAAAGTTTCTGAAAATTCCACGAAGGGTCAACAAAGCAATTAATGTAATTCCTGTTTATATTTAAATGTTACCCGCAAAGTCCATATATCAATAACATTCTGAAAAATGAAGAAAAAAAAATATTTCAATACTTTGACTTCAGATGCTATCTTTTAATGATCAAAAACTTCTGTCAAAGTTGCCAAAGTTCTATAAGGGTTTGGAGAGTTACCACAATTATTGATTTCTGAGATAAAAAACCCTTTAGCCTTGGACAGTGTCTCAATGTTAACTGCAAAATTCAATAAATCAGTAAATACTACATTTTGTTCTGCATACTGTTTTTTAATTATTAAGAAGTTTCAGTTCAAATTTTATAGAATCCAATGAAAGATTGACAAAGTCATTGATGTCTAAAAAAATATAGACTGAAATTTAACTTAGACCACTCTACCGACGACTGGATGTAGGATCGCTTTGTCTCGCCTCCAAAACTTTCGTCCCAACCAAACAAAACACATTAGAATAGAATGTAAATTTTTATTAAAGGCATCCGGAAGAGTTGCTTTAATTTTTTGCTTGTAAGTGCATTTGACTGTACTTTAATGTGAGAACCTATCATTACTAGTTTTTTCAAAACAATGAATTTTGTGTCTTTTTCTATGGGTATGTTCGTGTTTGTGTGTTTCCGCGTGTCTGTGTGAAATATCAAAAGGAAATGAATCATATTTAGTGCGGTTTTTGATAATACAGTTGTAAAAACGTAAAAAAAAATTAAATATAAAACTTTAGTATTAAACATTATTTCGACTGATAATATATCAGATGTATTTATAAATTTATTTTTCTATATTTTTCTATATGAAGAATTCATTTTTTTGGATAAATGCATTTAATTACAATCAAAGAAACTGTTTTCAAAACTTTTATGATTTTTTTTGTCTTATCCTAACACTTGAAATTACAAATAATGCGTTTGGTCAAATACAAAAATCGTTGATTATGTTGTATTGGTTAACAATTATATATATAAAAAGGATACTTAAAATGGAGAAGTACAGATTTTGGTACTATTTGATTTTTTTTTCAAACATCCATAATATAAAAGTTATAAAGAACTATACATTTTACCTCGAAAACATATTTTTTTTATAACCTGATGAAAAATATATCTAATAGAATGAAGTAAACATAAAAAAACAAAAAAAGCTACTATTTAAAACCAAGCAATTATATATTCAAACTTTTTGTATTGTGAAAAAGTAAAAAATAGATTATGTACAAGAAATTTGTTAACATTCGTATCTTGATTTTCAGCTATAATGTAACTACAAGAATACAAGTTTGATTGTGTTGTATTGGTTAAAAAATTATATTTATAAAAAGGATACTTAAAATGGAGAAGTACAGATTTGTTACTATTTGATTTGATTTTTTTTCAAACATCCATAATATAAAAGTTACAAAGAACTATACATTTTACCTCGAAAACATATTTTTTTTATAACCTGATGAAAAATATATCTAATAGAATGAAGTAAACATAAAAAAACAAAAAAAAGCTACTATTTAAAACCAAGCAATTATATATTCAAACTTTGAATATTGTGAAAAAGTAAAAAATAGATTATGTACAAGATTTTTTTTTAACATTCGTATCTTGATTTTCAGCTATAATGTAACTACAAGATTTGTTACCTATCCGGTCTTTAACATACAATTTCTCGTAATTTATAATGATAATATTCATAAAAAAGTACACATTTTTATAGACTGAATATGTTCCTGATTTTTTGTTTCTGATATAAAAGAATAAAATTGTCTACATCAGATAAACTAAGAGAATAGATTTATGTAGACAGCCTAGAATTTTCACAGATATGGCACAATTTTAGTTTTTAAAAGGAAATGACCTGCAATGAAGATATTCCGAAGAATCAATTTACGAAAGTTACCATCACCAATACTGAATTAGCTTAACCAAAGAAAAAAAATAAGGTGAAAAATATACTCATGTCTGTAAAATACTATATTTAGAAAAGATTGATATAAAAAAGAAAGCCCCTTTTAGCCCAAAAAGACATGACAAAAAAAAAAGAAAAAAATATATATAGCATTAAGTAAACATTGTTCGCGTTAAATAAAGGCTTATCATGTGCAAAAACAGCAACCCCCCCCCCCCCCCCCCAAAAAAAATAAAACAACCAAAAAACAAACAAAACAACGCTAATCTGAGTTTTGATTACAATCAAGCAAATCTATTTTAAAAACCATAAATATAGGAAAAAAGCTTTAAAAACCCACAAATTATGTACAAAAGGATATATCACATCAATATATTGATTTTCAGCTTTAATATAACTACAAGATTTATTGCCTTTCCGATTTTTAACAGATAATTTCTGGCAATGTACAAAAGTAAACAATCATAATCCCCCAAAAAATACCACATTTCTATTAATAAACATGTTCCGGATTTTTTCGGAATTTCTGTCGCTTGCCAAAAGTTGCAAATACCTACTGGTTTATAAATATCAAAGTGTCTAATTAATACATATTAAAGATTAAACGATTTATTTGCACATACTCATCAAATCAAAATGTTATTCAGCGCTTGTTGTTGAAGACAGATTTTATAATTTTTCTTCTATTTTGTAAAATTTGCATTTAATGATATCCTTAACTAAAATGAATTAATTTGTATGTGAAAGACAAAAGTTAAATATATTTCCGGTAGAAAGTCTGTTTTTTTTTTTTTTTTTACATTTTTACGATAATTACTCAAACTTTGACATAATTTATCAGAATTGTGAGTCATAACTAGGCAATTAAACTTGGTTATCATGATAATAAATACGCCATAATATTGTTTGAACTCCAAATTACTCACATAAGGCTGTCATGATGTGAATTTTAGTAAAGACTGGAAGACTTTTGAAAAATGGCTCCTGTGTGAAAGAGAGCTAGTGCAAATAAGCCATACCTCCTTCATAATTTCTCTGGTGAGTAGAAGTGAAGAAACGTATCGATACAAACGTATCACGGATTTTATATACATATATCAACTTGAACGATGTTAAATCAATTCAGCTCGAAATGAGGTAGTTATGTTCTGACGTAACTACATTAAAATGTGTTGTATGAAATTTTTTTTATTCTACTATGTCATAGATTTCTTCCTCGCTCTTTGCATCATTGCTCACATTTTGGAATGCAACAACACCATCGTATGCTCCAGTTGGTTTGTCTGTATTCCTATAAACAAAATAAATATGCTGTAAACTTTAAACAAATATGTTTGATGTTTGAACGATATCGTATCAAAAATGAACAAAAACATACTAAATGATGGTGTTAATTCTAAATTCCTAATATGACACATGTTAAACACAAACACATAAGGCCAGTCCGCGTTCCGAAAATAATGACCCCACGCAATTTCCCTTAATATACCCATGTATAATACACTGACCAGAGGTTATGTCAAATGTTTACCATGAACAGGAATAATATCATAAAATCACTTCAACTTATTTTTCTTTGTTAGATTAGATAAGTATAACACAATGGCATGAGGGCATCCCGTTGTATATTCATGTAGAAGAATATGTATAAACGTATCCCCTCTGCATAAGACTAGCTAAATTGAATAACTTGATGTTGTTCGGCTTTGTTGCATACATTAGTTGATATAATGAGGATCTCTTCTTGTATAAAAATGTTGAAGAAAAAATCCTTCTTTTGTCTGAGATAATTAAAACACAATGACAATGGATCATCTTCCTTTATCGATGATAAGTACATGTATAAACCCTCTTTGTATATGGATGAATAACACACTGACTCAAGGTCATCCTACTTTGCCTTACATTTTATAATCATTCTTTACTAGGTTGTGAAAGTGGTCCCATATGACCGGGGTCATTCAACTTTGTACATGCTTTTATCATAGACCAGGTGGATGGCCTCGGACCACTTTGTTCTACATAAAAAAAAAATACAAAGGGGTGACAGGGGGTAATTGTTATTAAAAAGAACTTATCTTGTTTACTTATGTTTAATACATAAACCATTTAGGGTGTTTTTTCTAGTTTCTTCTCTTTTTAAATTGTTAAACTAGTTTCAACATTAGCTAACTAATATTGGGTTAGAACAATTATCGATTTTCTGGTACTTGCAAACAGTCAAATGTCATTTTTGTGGATAAAAATAAATGAAAATTAATATGTAGTTCACTTCTACATCTTTTCCTTCTCATATAGAATGAGTTAGAAGGATTCCTTTTTCGTATTAGTCTGCCTTAAGCTTACATTTCAAGTGATAACCTTTAAAATAGATAATTTTAGCTTGAAATATGTAACTGCTTACGAGGGACTTACCTGCATCCTTTTCATTGTATATTCAATTGATGTACCTACTGTATCTTTCTGATTTAATAAGTACTGAACATATGAGTATTTAAATATATTAACTTACAGTGTATTTGAATACGGTTGGTCTGTAAAGAAAAGAGAAGAGATTAACATGAATTATTATCAAAGTATTTGTTTGCTTATCTTATAACGTTTTAACACCAAACACTCACTTTGTATGTGTATTTTTGGTGTCAGGTCAACAAAACTGCTGGAAGATGATCATATGTTTTACCTATAAGTACCAGTTTTACAGCTGAAATGACTTATTTGACACTATTTGTGATAATTCCAAATGGAAGGAAACTAAACTGAAGACAATGTTCAATACTTTGGCATTTTTTTTTTGTGCATGCATTGATATATATTTGAGCGATGAAAAAAGAGAATTGGATAAAGAGTTTTCGTTTAAATTGTAGCAGCACCTTAAACTTAGCAAATATTAAATTAATGTTAAGAGCAGTTATAAAGAAACTCGACTTGTATGACAAAAATAAGGTAATAAAGAGGTTCAGGTATATTCCATGAAAGATTATACATATTATTATCATAAGCTTTCATTAAATATACAATTATTTTAAGGACAATCTTTCTTTAAACGCTTGATGTGATACATGGTATGCTTTTTGTTCATTGTTGAAGGCAATACGGTTACCTGTAATAACATTAACGGTACTTATTTCACTGCACCAGATGCGCATTTCAGCAATTAGTCTCTTCAGGGATGCCCGAGGCCTAAATATTAAAAAAAATCAAAACGTAATACAAACGTTGTAGATCAGTTAAAACCAAAAAGGACCAACAGTATAGCCAAATCCGGACAAAAATCAGAGCTTTGTACGAGGGAGATAGATTTATAACTTTAAAATAGTTTCCGAACTTTTATAACGGAAAATTTTAATCAAACAATAGCCATATGTTCATGCTATTATTCTAAAAAATCTACATCTCCTTGGTTTTATATTGAAATCATGAATTCATTTTTCTGTCTTAAAAAACATGCTACTTTTTAATTTGAAATAGAGTTATCATACCTTGAATCATCCCCAAAAGATTATATTGAGTTAAGGAAAAATAGAGGACTACGGCATAACGGTGTTGGGAAGTTTAACAAAACAGTCTACTGACAAAATTTAAGAAAATAAGGATTTCGACAGGTATAAATATTTTACGCACAAAACACTTAGACAAAATTGACGATTTATGTTTTATCAACAGCAGTTTAATATCAGCAACTTCATATTGAGTAAGGTGTAAACACTATTTCGATATTTCAAAGCCTGCAATGACTTTATATACTTATTTCTGCTCAAGTTTTCGTTTGAAATAACGAAATGAAAATTTGTCAGAAATCGTATCATTATATTTCTACAAACATCAATTTGTTAGATTCCAAAACTATGAAAACCTGATTGAAAAATATTCAGAATCAGCAAGCATTTGAAAACTTATTCATTTTGAAGGAAGAAATGTAACAATACAACAACTTACTAATCTTTCCAATCACATGCTCCATTGTTTTGAATATTAAAAAAATGTAGGAATACTTTTCCATGTTCAGGATGATTACAATACTGTTAACATGTACATATATTTTTAACAAGGTCACTCTTGGCTGTTTTGGAAGAATTAATACGAAGGCACGTCCTGTATGAATATTATACAGTGCTTATTCACAATAACTCTTTTTTTTATGGTCAAAAGGCTGTAGGGGGCTTTATTCCGATTTATACCTCCTTCAACCGGATGGTCATTTATTTTAAAGTCAACGTGTGGTTCGTTTAATCCCATTTCTTCATAGTCAAAATTAAAATAGCTTTTGATTTCTTCTGAACTTGCTTTTTAGACGTCACAAAGAAAAAACTACCTGACACATAGAAAAACACACCATTTTGCAGATCATTGAAAAAGAAATTTATAAAGTTAGCCTCTATATTCTTTAAAAATCATCACAGAAACAGATTTCATCAACGAGTCTCGTGCAAACGATATTTCTCCACGGTTACATTTTACAATATCAAGTATAGAAATATCGTATCACACTCGACGAAGTGGTAGAATCTATAAACATATGTGATATATAAACTAGGGATGTTAAATTAAATTTTCTTTTTGTGGTTTCCAAAAAATATATACATCTGTATTAAAACATCTATATTTTTTTTTATATTTGTTATTACATTTTGTTTTTCTTCGTTTGTTATGAAATGTTTAATACTAATATTCTATATTTTGGGGGTATGTCATATTTCTTGTTTTTGGGTCGATTTATCGCAATCTGTTTAGAATATTGTTAGGAATATTGATTTAAAAAAATAAAGATTACTTCAAACACACCTTTTTCATCTATTGTGTTTTATATAAAAATGAGAAGATTTGGTATAATTGACAATAAGACAGCTTCCATCAAATGACATATGAGGTTAGCAACTATATTTCACCATGCATCCTTCAACAATGAGCAAAACCCATACCACATAGCAAGCTAGAAAAGGCTCCGAATTGAAAAATGTAAAACAAATCAAATGAGAAAAATAACGACCTTTTTAAGTAAAAAAACAGTTAACGAAAAGAAATATGATAATCAGCAACAAACCACTGAATTGGCCGGGACAAGCACATACAGAATGTGGCTGGGTTAAACATGTTTGCAGACCCACCAATCCTCCCCTAAACTCTTTTAGTTGTGATGCTTTTAACATTTTTTATGGCATATGCATACTAAAAACGTTGGTCTCTAGGACAACGGCAATTCAAGAAATATGTGTAGTATGCTCTGTTGTTTTTATTATACTTGTAAATACCAGTATGTAGAATGCAAAATACACTAACTAGTAACATTTTTTGAGATACAGACTTCTTGCTAGAATAAAAAAAAAAGTATGAGAACAGGATTTTTTAGTCCCAAAAATATAGGTTCTCATGGCTTTTTGTAACGCAATTTATATTTATCGCCCTTGCCGATCAACTCTGCACTTAACAGTACATGTCTCGTCACAGCGTAAAAAAGAGTTCTCATGTCCTTTCGTGCTAATGAAGACATATAATTTTGCCTTTCGTATAATGCAGAGTGCCCGAAGTGTCTAGTTATAAAAAAAAAACATCGTACACACAACGACTAATCAGGATTAGCCATACTCTTAATTTTTAATTTTTTATACCATGCATAATAATACCTTTATGTTGTGTCTTTATGCGTGAAGCAACATACTGGCATACCAGGACAAACACGACGGTTACCAGAATGCAGCCAGCGGCCACACCTGCTACCAGTTCAACTAAATACTCAGAAGCCCATTTCGTGCTGCAGCTACAATCCGATGCTGAAATTTGCAACACAATTAGGTTGTGCACTATAAATAATTATTCATAATTCTATTCAATAAATCAAAGACATTCAATGTTGGAAATGAAGCAAACTGAATGGGAAAAAACTGCACCATTTACTTCCATCTGTTAGAGGACTATTTTAAGTAACAAATAAATCATAAACAACATGTGTATTTAAACCAAGTTTTAAACATTCAAAAGTAGAGTAACTTTACTAGTAATCATATGAACAGTGATGCGAGTGGTTTGTATGTTTTGATATTTTGATATAAAAATAAGAAGAAGTAGTATGATTGCAAATGAGACATATCTATTCACCAGAGGTCAAATGACGTAGAAGTTACAGCTAAAGGCCACATAACGCTCTTCAACAATGAGCAAACCCATACTGCATAGTAAGCTATAAAAGGCACGTAAATGACAAATGTAAAACAATTCAAACGAGAAAATTAACGGCCGATGTATGTACAAATCAATAAACGAAAAAATAAATATGATATACAGCAACAAACG